GTTAGCCACCTTATTATAGGCACCCACTGTGCAGACTTAACCCAGCATTGTGACATGAAGGTGCAGTTCCAGAAGTTGTATCACAATAAAAACATATTTGCCACCAGGCATTGGTAGTAGAGGAGAAACAAGGTTTTAAATGTACAGAACTATAAGCTAGTCTGTAGCAAATTTATCTAATTATTAGGCATGTAAAGTTGTAAGTGGGGGATTTTATTCTCCTCAACTTCTAATCAAAGTGCAAGTTGTTGCCTTTCAGAAATACACGCAATAAAGCAGTATGTACAGTTATAAGAGTGCCATACTTTTTTTTTTTTCCTTTTTGGTAGAAATCATGAGAAATAGAATTTATCAGAATTTCTGTATTTATAGGACACACACTTGTAGCATTACTGCAAACAGCAAGTATGTGTGTGAAGTTGCATGTTAATGCATCCTAATACAATACTGGATCACACCTTTGCATATCTGACACATCTTATCCCGACAAAATGGATAAACATGAAATTTTGCCACTGATGCAAAAAGCAGCCTGAAGGAAAACAAGTCCTCCAATGAGAAATTTACACATATTCATCAATAAGCCAGCGTATGTAGTATAAAAGTAATTGAATTACACAATTATTTAGCTAAATACGGTGTAACAGCAATTTTAAATTGCCTTTGAATTACTCTTATGTATATCTTAATTTTAGATTAATGTATAATTCTTTGAAGTCAAAAATATGGGAAAAAAGTATTACAGGTATGTCAGGCAATAAAATTAATAAAATTTTATTTTCCTGGATTTATTTATGTTTTTCATATTTAATAGCTTTATTAATTTTATAGCTTGTAATTTGTTTTCTCATTCTGAATATTTGCTTTCATTTCTAATTTTGTATTCATAATTCTGTGTTCTTTAAAAAAAAACAAAACCAAACCCACTGCCGTGGAGTTGATTCCAACTCATAGGGACCCTCTAGGACAGAGTAGAACTGCCCCATAGGGTTTCCAAGGCTATAAATCTTGATGGAAGCAGACTGCCACATCTTTCTCCCTTGGAGCAGCTAGTGGGTTCAAACTGCCAACCTTTTGGTTAGCAGCCGGGTGCTTTGACCGCTTCACCACCAGGGCTCCTTTTATCTTGAAGAGGGTCCCTAAAATTGTATAAACTTCATGACACACAAAACCTAGATTCACCCCTTGGGAGCAGATGTTGGGAGTTTGTGGCAAGAGAAAAAGGTGTGAAATAGCCAGCTAGGTGAGACATTAGTGAGTGAGTGAATGAACCACGGACAGTGTGATTACCTGGCAGCATTGAGGCCCACTTGAAGTTCATGAATATGAATCTAAAGGAAGACAAATAAGCATGGTGGTATTTTTCTCCAACCACATTCAGCTACACAGATGTAAGTGTGGAGAAGAAGAGTTAGGTTTTAACCAGGGTGATGGTTTTACCAAGGGGGTAAGATAAAGTGGGAGAGGAGCAAGGGAGTAAAGGGCCTATGTAAGGAAATGATTATTTGGTTGGTTGACTCAGGTATCCATATTGGCTAAAGAGAGGAGAGCAACAAAGAGACAAGAAAGAGTGAAAAAGATGGTAGGATCAATGAATTGGAAGAACTGCTGGGGTCAGGTACTAGAGGAAATAAGCTGGAAAGATAGGAGGTGATAATCAGAGAATGGGAAGCATGAAACTGAAATAATGAAAGGGTTGACGTTATTGGTAAAGAGAATATCTAGGCAGGAATTAGGAGACTGTTGGCAGTAGTCCAGGCAAGAGATGAGGAAGACCGTGGGATAGGGTGGGGAGAGTGGACATGGGGAGGAGCAGGAAGAAATGGGCTTTTTTTTGAAGGCAGTAGAACAAACAGTGCTTACTGATTGGAGGTGAGATATAAGGAAAACATCAAGGAAGGTTCCCAAGCTCTGTAAAAGACACAATGTGTAATGCACTTTAACGTTAAGATAGTTTCTTTGAGTTGTGGTTTTACTTGGCACTTGTCTTTCAGAAACAAATAAAATGTAGCCTGGGTTCTTCAACAGATAAATTATAAGAAAAGAAAGGAATGGATGGGGAGCTTACAGATTAAAAGACACCTAGAAGACGTCTTTTTTTTTTTTTAATGATCAGGACTAAACTATAGTATTTAGGGATGCACATTTGGGTGATATAACTGTAAATAAATGTGAGTAAATGATTATTGTCTACACCAGGGTAATGGTTACTTATGGGGAGAGAAAGGGGGTTGTGATTGGGCCGGGACCATGAAGGGGCTGCTGGGGTGGCTGGCAAAGTTCTGTTTTTTGGCCTGGATGGTACTGACCTTACAGTAAGTCATTAGCCTATATGTTTGATTTATTTAGTTCTGTGCCTCTGTATTCTATTTTGCAATAAAAATATTTTAAAGTAAATAAATAAGCTAGAATTGGTGACAAAAGCTGTTCAGTGGGGAGAGTCCATTGGCTAGTAAGGAAGACTTTTCTTCCATGGAAGGCACAGCTCCAGCCCCCACCCAAGCCCCAAGGTAACAGTTGAGATTTCCTTGAGCAGACTGAACTCTGGTGAGCCTGGTTCCCTCTGAGACAGGCTTCTGGGGACTACACTGAACCTGAATCCAAACTTATTTACTGTAATTATATAAAAATAAACAGCATATTGCCATGTATTTCCTTTGTTTCAAAATGGTAGTGGTTGGCTGTGATTATGTGTATGTGTGTGTATGTGTGTGGCTTTATTTTTTCCTCCCACCGTAATTAATCCTTTATCTTCTTTTTCCTTCAGAATGGGTTTTTATCTGCACTGCCTTACTTTGGTTCTTGGTTATGTATGATCCTGTCTGGTCAAGCTGCTGACAATTTAAGGGCAAAATGGAATTTTTCAACTATATGTGTTCGCAGAGTTTTTAGCCTTGTGGGTAAGTAAAGTGAATTAAGTTTTGTTTTGGTTTATATTTATTTAAGATGTTTACATTGCAAGGCGAAATAAAAATAATGGTCATTTATTTTGTTCATACGTTAAAGCACTATGATGCATTTAGTGCATTGTTGTTCTTTTTGAACTATGCATTTTGAGAATTAGGATTTATAATATCTCCACCATAATGATATAACTTTAAAAAATGGTTTGTTTTGTTGGTGATCCCCAGAACTTTATAAATCTCTTTGTTTTCAGCTGTAAATTTGCAATAAAAATATTTTAATTCTCCACCCCTTTTTAAGTGAATACATTTTTAATTGTTTTCATTTAAAATTAAAAATATTGAAATTGTTTAAATACATTTTTAAAAATTTTAGTAAATATTTTCCCAAAAATATTTACCAAAATCATTGTATCAAGTGAGGAGCTATAAATCAAAGAACTCAGAAGAATCTTAAATAATCATGTGTTTCAGACTGTGCTCTCAGAAAGGTAAATTTTAAAACTATCTAGAACTATTATTCAGTTTTCTAAAGGTCTCTAGTAGTTAAAGACCATAGAGGTTGTTGATGGCTATGAGTTCAGTAATTACATTGTAAAAGGACCCGATTTAGGTTAATTCTCCAAACACCTCCTAAACGCTTACCACTGCAAGATGCTGTCTTGTTTCATTGCTTAATTACCTTGAGCCTCAAGAAATTTTTCCACATCTGCAAGTGAATCTCTTTTGATTCAGTTCCATTTTCTCTTTTTTGGTTGCCTCTGTACTTACTTTGTCAAGCTATTAGCCGTATGTGGCTGCAGGTAGTCCCCGACTTATGACAGGCTTCTGTTCTGACTACTCCGTCGTAAGTCGGTTCTGACGTAAGTTGAGTACCTGTTTTTTTTTTTTTTTCTTTTTTGTTTTCATTATTATTTCCTTTTATCATCAGTATCTTTATAAATGCAATCTTTATTTGTCTTTGAGAGGTTGGAAACATTACATATAAACTTACAGATATATTTTAACAGATACATACATAAAGAAAATACACAAATCATAAAAATTTACTCCAACGATGTAGAAGAGTTGAACAACCTTGACATTTTGTCAGTTGTGGTAATAACGCCACTTGTGGAAGATTCTGGATTATCTGGATTATCCCTGGGGATGGGGATGGCATTTCTCGTCAGAAAATTAGTGGGAGCTGTCTGCATGATCTTTTACTTTTTTTCTTCATATATTTTGCAGTAACATCTCACTGCTTCCCAAATCTGCCTGTCACCTTTAGCAAAGTGATCAGCATTTGGGTCCATGATTTCAAGTAACTGAAGCCGCTGATTTAGTTTAGAAAAAACTTTAGCTAATCCTTTCACTGTATTACTAATGGTAAGATGTACAAAAAAAAAGGAAAGTCGTTAAGTGCAGTTTCTTACAACTCCATTAAGTAAGTGGGACTATTTGTATTTAAATTTAAGTTAATTGAAATTTAAAAAATCAGTTACTCAGTTGCACTAGCCACATTTCAAGTGCTCAGTAGCCACATGCAGCTAGTAGGTACACATACAACATTGCCATCATCACAGAGAGTTATTGGGCAGCACTGTTGTGGGCAGAGAAAATACGGACAACCCACTCATTAAATCCCCTTCATTGTTACTTATATTTTATGGTGAACTGCCTATAATGAACTGTGCATATTGTTAATATTATCAGTTGTTAAAACTGAGATGGAGTGTTTTTCTAACTTCATCCAACCAAGTTTATTTAGTTTGTGTTCTTTGGTTATGTTTGAATTTTAAATCACATTCTGTGTCAGCTATTTCTTTTCTCTATTTTTCAGTTATTCTCTTCTTGCTCTTTTCTCTAGTACTGTAAAACTCTAGCTGACTCCTGGTCACATGTAGATTTAATAGCATTACATGAGTTTTCTTTTTACTTTTATGTTAGTTGCATTATGCCCATCTCTTTTCCAGTAGGTTTTTTTTTTTTTCCAGGAAATCCTGCATAATTTTAGTTTTGAGTTTTCTAGGCAGTACAGTGTTCCTACAGTAGGTGGCAGTAATACCAAATTTCAGATTTATACTATATTAAGGTAGAACAGGTAAATATTAATACTGAAGCTTTTTCTTTTTGTAATTCTTTAAACTCTAGGAATGATTGGACCTGCAGTATTCCTGGTAGCTGCTGGATATATTGGCTGTGATTATTCTTTGGCTGTAGTGTTCCTCACCATATCTACAACACTAGGAGGCTTTGGCTCTTCTGGATTTAGCATCAACCATCTGGATATTGCTCCTTCGTGAGTACTATATAAAGATTTGCTGTGATTGACTTTAAAGTCTTAACAAGATTCCTATTTACGTGACAATTAAATTTAAACTCTTAACTGCCATCACCTCTATCCACAGTGTTCTCATAGAAATGTTGCCTATAATACATTATAACCTAATTACTTGTATCTGTCTACCTAGCTAGAATAGAAACTCCATGAAGGCAGAGACTCCATCTTATCATCCTTAGGGCTCACCATGGTGCTTGGCAGATAGTGGGCATTTAGCTAGATGGATGAATGCCAAAGAGCAGACCAGTGGATTTGCCCAATTATTTTAGTATTTATGTGCAAATATATTTGTTTAGCACTTGATAGCTAACAAATCACTTTCACAAACATTATCTGTTTTTTCTTAAAGCATTCCTGTGAAGTAGGTATTCTTGCCCTCTTTTGTGAATAAGGAGAGTCAGGTTCAGAGAAGTTAAGTGATTTTTCCTACATGACACAGCTAATAAATGATGTGCCAAGACTTGAACCTAAAGTTCTTACTTATTAAGGCCAGAACTCTTTCTACAGCTACTTCTCTGGAATCACTGTTTGGTCCATATGCTTCTAGATTCTTTTGTACAAGGTAGAGGAGGGTGCTGTGTAAATATTTTAACCAAGAAGTTAATGCATTTAATTTTTTTTAATAGATGTGAATTTATTTTTGGAGAAAAGTCCAGGTGGTCTCCTACCCCCTTTTCCCCTACACCAAATCCCTCATTACTAAACTACCACAGAATCTTCTGGTTCCTATTGATCTTCAGTCTCCCATCCCTTCATTAAACACTCCAAGGTAAACTCCACTGAACTCCTCTGGCTCTCATAGAACTTGAAGGGACCTTTGAAATCATTCTAATCCAATCTCTCATTTTATATAAGAAGCTCTAGAAGTTTCCACAAACTAGAGTCTTAGTGTGCCCAGTTCCTGTGAGCCTGTTTGCAACTCTGTAGTGCCTTCTGGTGAGGTTCATGCTGGCCCCCTGCAGCAGTGTCTTTTCCTCTCCATCTGTTAGAATCCGTCCCAGTTTAAGACCCAGCTCTTTTCCAACATCTACAGCCTGCTTTTTTCTCTTTCTTCTCTCTATGCATTCCACTTATAATTCTGTGCTAGATACATTAGTATTTACTGCCTTACCTTAATTTGTAATTGTTTCTAAATGTAACTCTTATCTATCTTCTTTCCCAAACTTGGATGTAAACTCATTCAGATTGAGACATCTTGCATATCCTCATCACAACTCCTGGCACAAGATCCATACTTGCTGAGTGGTTGATTTATGTGATCATATTAAGAAAATAGAGCATCAGTGCTGCATATACCCTTAACAGTGGAAGACTAAGGACGGAGAATTGATAACATGTAGACATTGGACTAAGAAACTGTTTGAAATACAAGGCAACTGAAACAAAAGGTCTAGGATCATAAGCTCTGAGAATGCAGGAACTGAGTCTGTCTTATTTACCTCAGTACCATCAACAGCTGGCCCTGTGCTGGGCCATAGTCAATGCTCAGTTGATCAGTTGTGTAAATGGAAGACTGAAAATTGAGTTGTATATTCAGTTTCATGTTACAGTCCTTTTGTTACTATTTATAATAAAGTCAATTTATACATTCGCTATTAAATTTAAATACAGAATTCTTAGCCAGCGTGCAAGATCCTCTATATTATCCTCCACATTATGGCCACAACTTATCTTTATAATCTTATTCCTTTCTCTCTCTCCTTTGTATATATTCTTTGCCCCAGCTGAACTAAACTACTCTTTATTCTCCAAAATTATCCCCAACACACACACACACACACACACACACACACGTACTTCCCTACCTTTGGCCCTTTGCTTATGCTGGTCTCTGTACCTGGAATGCCCACACTCAGTGTAGGTTTTTCTGATGTTTCATCATGATTTAGATTCAGGTAATCCAACCCTGTCAGAATACTATATAACTGGCCCTGTGACCTCAAGAAGTGACATTCAGAGGCCCTATCCCACCCACTGCCGTCCATCAAGTTGATTCGGACTCATAGCGACCTCATAGGGTTTCCAAGGCTATAAATCTCTACGGAAGCAGACTGCCACATCTTTCTCCCGAGGAGCGGCTGGTGGGTTCGAACCACTGACGTTTCAGTTAGCAGTCAATCGCTTTTAACCACTGCACCACCAGGGCGCCTTAGAGGCCCCTAAACCAAAAAACCAAACACCTTGCCGTCGAGTCAATTCCAACTCATAGCCACCCTGTAGGACAGAGTAGACCTGCCCATAGGGTTTCCAAGGAGGGACTGGTGGATTCAAGCTGCAGACCTTTGGTTAGCAGCTGAATGCTTAACCACTGCGCCACCAGGGTTTAGAGACCCCTAGTGATGTTAATTTTGATCACCCAGTTAAGGTGTTGTCTAGTACTTCCAGTAATGAATTACTTCTTTTCTCCTTGCAACTAGTAAAGTAGTCTCTGGGGAGATGCTTTGAAATCATGCAAATATGCTGCTGCTCATCAAACTCCTCCTCCCCACCTTAGATTTAACATCCATTGATAGTGCAGGCCCAAACCACTTTTTACTATGATGATTTCAAAATGGGACATTCCAACCCCAGTACTACCTCTACATTTATCAGTTGGCATTCTAGTGTAAGGAAGATACCCCTTATATTTATGTTCATAATATGAATTTGTACTAAAAGCTTATAAACATTAAAATTGAGTTTGAAGTAGAAAATGTAGTATTTGCTGAGATAGGAATAGAAAGGAAATAATATACCTAAATGAGATCTTGCTGGTTAAGACTTTTTGTTCTCTCACCTTCTCTGCTCTGTACCCATCTCAAAACAATTTCAATAAGTACGTTTTACTGTGCAGACATATACTGTGAATATTATGTTATATATTCACTTTTCACATATGTATTTACTTTCACATAATTCTTTCATAGAATTAACCATATTAATAATAATAATACATGACTATGTATTACTTCATGTCACTAATTTATACCTTGCTGATCCAGTTATAGTCCTGGGGTGGAAGGACTCTAGCAAGATTCAGAATTCCAACAAAAGTTAAGCTGCATAAGCCTTCAGAGCTCATTCGTCTTTAGTGTTGTATGAAACTGCCAGTTGCTCCTTTGATAGTGTTAACTACTTGTTTTAAACAGTAATTTTTTTTTTAGTAATTAGAAATTTGTAGGAACAAAAATTGGTTATATACTGACTACTAAACATCTACCCATTTTACAGAGAAGGCACTGCCTTCTTCAGTTGATTATCTTTAGTCATATTTTTTACATATGATTAACACCAGTTTAAACTGTCAGAGCCAGAAATAGATTCAATTAATTATTAAATCCATTAGTTAACAATCTTTGCAGTGTTTAAATTTTTAAGTCCAAATTTATTATTCTTTGTACAGGTTTATGTGATTTTTATTTTTAAACAGACATGTATGAGTACCTGCTATACATTTGGCACTCTACACAACACTACAGAAAAAAAAGACTCAGCTCCTGCTTGCAAAGAGATTAGCCGAGTTCAGGAAAGAGACAATAAAAAATAGACAGTTGCAGTATATTATGATGATTCATTCTTTCAGCAAATACTTATCGAGTACCTACAAAGCACCAGCCATAATAGATATAGCCCTGGCCGATGGAGCTAGTCTACGGTAATAGACATGAAAGAATCATACAAATAAAAACAGATTTTTTGAAGAAGAAGTGAGAGAGTATAATAAGAGGGCATATAGCTAGGTAAAAGGAAATGTATTCCAGACAGAAGAGCTTATATGAGAGGAAAAAGAAATTGGTGTTTCAGTTAACTAAAAGAAGACCGTTTGTGGCTGAGATGCAGAGAAGAAAGTCGCAGGATAGTGGCAGGAAATTACTCTGGGGAGTAGGCAGGAGCCTATAGTAAGCATTTTATACTTTATCCTAAGGGAGCAGGAAATGACATTCTCTGTATTTTAAGATCACTTTTGTGTGGGCAAGAAACAAGGAGAAGAAACCAATTAAGAAGTGATTAGGGAAACCCTGGTGGTACAGTGGTTAAAGCATTTGGCTACTAACCAAAAGGTCAGTGGTTCGAACCCACCAGCTCCACAGGAGAAATGTGGCAGTCTGCTTCCATAAAGATTTACAGCCTTAGAAACCCCATGGGGCAGTTCTACTCTGCCTTGTCGGGTCGCTGTCAGTCGGAATCAACTCAACAGGCAGTGGGTTTGGTTTTTGGTTTATTCCTATTGACATATAAATGTATACATGGTATTTTCATAGGCTGAAATAGGGATTTTCCATGAACCATTTTGTTGCCCAAATTCAAGGGAATTGGATAGATTTTCAAGTACTAATCCCACAGAATTCTAGCACTCCAGCAGCACAGAATCTGTACTGAGATCCTCCAACATGTTTTTCTTCCAAGCAGTCATCAGTCTTTCATGGCCTATCCCGGCCAAGTGTAATATAAATACTTGAATGAGCTTCTTGGTGCTGACATTAGAAATTTCATAGCATTCATCTGCACTTAATATCTGTCACTGAGCAGGCCTGGCAACATTGCAGATGGTTTCTGCTACTGCCAAGGTGTTAATGGTTTTAAAAAAAAAAAAAAGACAGGTCCTGCCAAGCTTGGTTAATTTAAGATACACTCTATAAAAGAGTTAAGCCAAAAAGATCTGTGCCTCTTGGTTTTGTTGTTGTATCCTGTATACATGGGTTTTGAACATATCAATTTGTGATGTTTACAGATAACTGAATTAGATTCAGAATTTTTCATTTAAGCACTTTTCCATATCTAAAATGGGGAGAGGGATTTCAGATTTCCCAGTGGTTGATTCGGTTTATATAAAATTTTTTAAATGAAAAAATTTTATAAATGGAGGACAGATTAATGATTGCCAAAGGTTAGAAGGAGATGGATTTGGTTATAAAAGGGCAAAATGAGGGATCCTTGTGGTATTAAAACTGTTTAATATCTTGACTGTGGTGGTGAATACACAAACCAACACAAGATAAAACTGTATAGAACTTATGTTAATTTCAGTATAATAATTCCTTACATATATGTGCATGCGCACACACGTGTCTGTAATACCCACTGCTGTCGAGTCGATTCCAACTCATACCGACCCCATAGGTTTTCCAAAGCTGTCTATGGAAGCAGACTGCCACACCTTTTTCCCACAGAGCTGCTCGTGGTTTCCAACCTCTGACCTTTTGGTTAGCAGTGGATCGCTTTAACCACTGCGCCACCAAGTCTCCATATATATAATACATATCTATATAACATATATTATCATATATAGTATAAATAATACACACACAGGGGAGAACAAGTAAAACTGGGCAAGTCTGAATTAGATCTGTGGATTGTATCGGTGTCAGTATAGGCAGTCCCCAGGTTATGAATGAGATCTGTTCCTAACTGTTTTTGTAAGTCTTTAAGTCGAATTTGTAGGTCAGTCAGAACAGGTGTATATGGTTCTTATTTAGCCTTACTTTAGCGCAAGAAAAGACTCAAAGCCTTTTCAATGATTTAAAAGCTGCATGAGCAGTGAAGGTAATAGTGATGAAGAATTTGTTTCCAGTAGGAGTTGATTCAGTCGTTTCAAAGTGAGGACACATTTACATAATATTAAAAGACAAGTATGACAGCCTGGTACTGGTACAACGACAGATACAT